AACATTTATATTAACATCTTTTGTTTTCCACAGAAGAAAGTAAAGCGCACAGGTTTGGAATGACATGAGTGTGAATACTGTAAATGATTTTTCATTTTTAGTTTTGGGTGAACTCTTTCTTTAGGTCAGTCATTGGTTAAAAATGTTTACCTGAAGTGTCCGACTCGCACCTTCCTTCCAGCTAAGTGTGTGTGCAGCATCAAAGAGAACACCTGAAGATCATGTGGCGTCTCCAGAACCTGTAGAGCACAGAACACAGGATCATTCAGTCATCTGCTGAATCTGATCGAGAGAGTGCGAGTAGATAAACATACATACAAACCTTTGGAATATAAGCAGTGTCACACAGGCCGTACGTGAGGAAGGATTTGGCTTTGGGTGGGATGGCGTACCCAGGGGCCACCGCAAGCCCTGTCCCCAGAACAGCTGCATCGTGCTGACGGAGTTCAGATGTGTAATAGAATCGCAGACCTGAGTTATCAACTCGACCTGTGTAGAATAAAGATAAAGCAGTATAATTCCAAGCACTTTAAATGTGATATTTTACAATTATAAACCAGTCCTGACTGACCTGTACTTTTATTAGCATTGTTGTAATGCACTTCAAGCCTGTAGAAAAAATCACTAACATTTCCTCCAATTGGAAGTCCTGCCACTTCAGGGAGTTCAAAAGCCTGAGAGAAAAGGGAAAATATTTTTTGATCACTCAGAGAACCCACAAATACTCGGTCATTTCAACCAAGATTTAAATTAATCATTTAATACAATCAAGAAATGAAATGTAGGATTTCAGATGCAGAACAGAGACTAACCCCTCCACCAACTCCCCACACTGCAATGGTCTCCATACACAAGTTGGTTCTTAACGATGTGTAACACTCCGCCTCAAACGGCTCGGTCACGCTCGGAGGGCAGCGGTACAGCAGCAGATGATGCACGAGGTCAAAGTTTGTGATCACCGGCTCAATCTGGACATAATGAAAGTAAGTCAGAGATGAAGATGATTGACATATCGCTGGATAGTTCAGGATAGATCATGTGTGTTAAGTTCTTCGACTCACTTACGCGATAAATGTGCTGTTTGCGATCAAATGTCGGGGCTTTCATGATCTTGCAGTGATAGTGGGTTTGGTTGGCTGGTACAGTGAACTGAAACATTTGTAAATTTAAGCAACGTGTAAAGTGAAAGTTCCCACATTAGGTATTTTAAGTCAAAGAGCATCATGGGGGAATTACATTTACAAATGAATAGCAACAGCTGATTAGCATCGTTGACATTTTTTGCTGCATTCTACGTCGTTTTAGCACCAGTCCAAAAAAGTAAGACAGAGGTTTTTGCAAAAATCATTAATATACAAATTACTGTAGCTCAAACAGTAGAACAGGCACTAGCAGTGTCAAGGTCATGGGTTCGATTCCCAGGGATAATATAAAATGTCATGCTAAATCTCACCCAAAAATGAAAATGTACTCACCCTCAGGCCAGCCAAGTTGTAGAGGAGTTTGATCCTTCATTACACGTTTTGAGTGGATTTTCATTTTAAGGTGAGCTGTTCCATTAATTCACTCTTACAGGTAAAATCTAGTCTATGCTATAATCTAAACATTGTAATCTAGTCTAAATGTTTTGGCATATTTTTTCATCACGCATTATTAAAAGCTTAAAGTATGAATTGGAAATTCTCTGTTTAATTAACTAAAGTAAATAAAGCAAAACAAAAAGTAAAAATCCTTCTTACATTGATCATAGTCATGTCGAAATACTTGCTGTTTGGAGGGTTGACCCGAGGCATGTACTTCAACAGGTTCAGCTGCTTTGTGCCTCTTCGGGTGCTGTGGTACATGATTTCATCAGTCTGTCCGTACGCATAGATCAGCTTCATGGGGAGATTCTGATCATGCAATAAAACAAAAGCCCATCATTTATAGGCATTTAAAAACACCTGACCCACACCTGAACCAAAAAATGAGAAACTCTTTAGCTATTAGTTCTGATCTAGACTTTCAGGGTTTTTGAGTTCAGTCCATCTGTTTAAGGAGGCGTTTCAACAACAATTGAGGGTCCCTAAACAAACAGGATCAGTACAGACTTCCTGGTCCCAGTGTGTCTAGCATTGTGCAGATTCCCAGTATGAAAGCTACCTGAAAGAGGACACCCACAGCACTCCTAAAGGCTTAAATATGCTGTGGTTCCTTTGCTCACATTGTTTACTGGATCAACTACTGAGTGCTATACAATAAAAGTGGGGAGCGAAACTGACGGTGTTGTAACTACTTTTCTTTGTAGTTGCATCACAGTTTCTAGATTGCACACATACCTTAGGTGTAATTTTGTGGAAAATTGGATATGAAATTCAATAAGTAGGTGTTCTGTTTATCATTAGGCCAGTTCCAGGAACAAACAGTACATTTATCCAACCTGTTTACTGTAGGTGTTAAATAGGAAGTGTCCCTGCATTATTTGTTGTTGGTCATGGAATAACATATTTGTTCAACTATCCAAACCTTAATCTTAACTGTCTCTAAAAATGCTAAATTATAGGTTGATATTATTGTTAAAGCGTTTATTTGAAATAGAAATATTTTGTAACATTATAAATGTCTTTACTGACACTTTTGATCAATTTAACGTGTCCTTGCCGAGTAAAAATGTGGGAATGTTCCAGGACTCACAGTGATGGTTAAGTCGTTTTCATCACAAGCCTCGATGGACCTCTGAAATTTCATGACTGTTTTCCCATCAGACTCGTTTAGAGACAAGAGTTTGTAGTTCTGTTTCTGGTCAATCACTGGCATTGAATTCCCCCCAGCATGACGATCCTGAACAACATTAATGATAAATTGTGTATATTTTCAGTCATAACAGCATATATTTGTGTGATGTGCTCTACATCATTTGTTTACATATAACAGATAACTAACTGGAAATATCTGGTTAAAAAGGTCAAAGCACTCACACTTATGTAAGGGTTGTTTTACAGTATTTCATGCAATATCCAGACATTAATCATTTTAATATCTAGTTTAATGCAAAATTGCTTATTTCTCAGATTGAATTAAAATATAAAAAATAATAAATTATTATCCACTGTAAGTGACTTTGACAGTCTCAGTCTTTACCGTGAAGTAACTGCCTTTGGGTCCAACTCCTCCAATGACGATATCGGCTCCAGTCATTCCTCCTTTGGGGCTGAAGCCAAAACCGACCCAGCCGCTGGTGTTGACCGTGAGCTCGAACAAGATTGTGCCCTGGATCTCATCGAATCCCCACTTCAGTCGCACCTTGTGCTCGAGGTCCAGGTGTTCAGAGAAAGGCAGAAGAGGGTCTTCCTGAGCCCAGGACCACTGGACTGAAAGCAAAAGCAGAACAAGAGATAACATGACCATGTTTCCTTTTCAAAATCTGACAAACAGTGTCTTTGTAAGGTGTTTGAGAAGGCAGTGACATGAAACTGCACTTTAACAGCCCTCTTTAAGCTGTCTGTAACCCCCCCACACACCTGATCTCAGTTCTCCTCCTCTCACTCAGGTCTGGAGAATCAGGTTCCTCATCACCTGGTGTTACAGTATTGTTGGCTACAAGAGAGATTACAATCAACTTTTAAAAGCACTTTTCATGCATGAACAAACATTTAAAAAATTATTCTTTATAAAACAAATATTTATTTTAGAGCTGTGATGAACTGTAAGCACAGAATAGTGGCACTTACTAATTCATGACTATGGCAGAGATGGATTTGTTAATGATGTTACATAAGCTAAAGTAAATACAGTATTTTATTTTTGCCTTTTCAGTATTACATCAAAGCAAAAGAGCAGAGGTCAAGAGTTACCTTGAAAACCAAATATAAAAGGGGAAAAAATGTAAGGAATACCTAATGTTAAAGTATTATTTTAAAATCCAAATACAAGAGACATATAATATTTTTTGATACTTCGGGCTGTCTAAAACAGTAAGAGAACCAAAACCCCAGAAGACATAGAGCAAATAAATATAACAAACAATAGGGTAAAAAAATGACAAACTATTTCCATGTCTTCCACCTTTTTTATGTAGGCTATGGAAATCACGCTTTCTTTCTCCCAGTCTCTCTCACAGACGCACACACGCGGAGACGCGAACAGAAACTTCTTGTCAGTGCTGCACCGCGAATTTATCAGTAAAATAGTTTCGCAGCTTTTGCAACGGAAGGTTTGGGATGAGGTGTGTAAAAAATTAGTTCAACACACGAGATTTCAGGGCGGAAACATGTCAAATGTCTTGAAACAAATCATCTGAACAATGTCTTGATGTGTGGTTGTGACTCCAGGCCGTTAAAATTATTAGAGAAATAAAGCACTCCTGAAGTGGTAATGTGGCCACGACGCCGCGCTTATATGGAATGGTCTTTCTCAGTTCTCAAACAAATTAAGAACTACATTCGATTTTTATTGACTGAACGCAAGCGCTTATTGCGATAGAAAACACTGCAACGGTTTCCACTGATTAAAAAATATTTTTGTTTGCTTGGGTGGTAATATTAGGTCTATTTATTAATAGGGAAGGGGGTCCAAAAATTTGTTTTGCCTATGTCACGAAAAGAGGTAAATCCGGCCCTGATACCACTGCATGCCATAAACACTATAGCCTACATCTATCTTCTCTACGAATGAAATCTGTATTTTGTATTTTTAAATAATATTAAAAATAATTACTTTTATTATTGCCATTTTGTTGTTAAAAATTATAATTCAAGGAAATATTCTGAATCATGCTGTCGAGCTAATTCTTTAATCTAAACTTGTTTAAAGTTTTTCATATTGTAGAATGCACAAAAGACAAGTAAAGCAAAGAAAGTAAAGTGTAAAGTCCATTTCCATCTAATGATTTGAAAAAAAAAGTTACATAGCTTAATTTTCTGTTACTGTGAGACATGAGTTTTTCTCTCTTAAAATTATTGACATTTATTCAGACAATGAAAGAACAACAAGTTACATCAGTTCTATTTTGCATTAATGTTTCAAAAGGATGCCCACTGCACTGCCAAACAGAGGAGCAGCGATAGCAAAGCAAGACTCTTGGTGGCACTGTCGCTCATGCAGGGTGCAGACGGGATGACTGTGAAGTCAGGAATCAGCCCTGTGTTGCTTGACATGTTGTTCTGGAAATACACATGGAAAAGAGTGTCAGGTAAACACAGCTGTGGTCAGAACAGAAGCAGTTCAGTTTGAAAACTTGATATTGTGGAGGTGTGGGCACTTACATTCGAGTTAATGATCCAGATGAGCTGGTCGATTCTCTTCAGTGTTTGTTGGTATTGGTTGATAGACATGTCATTCCAAGTCTTCATGAGCATCATATTGCGCCAAGTACTGCAAAATTATCAAGTAAAAGCTACATTATCATTAGGATAAATATTGAGTGGAAAACTCAATGAAAACAATCAGTGTTTTAAATGAGATTACACTGTATCTTTTGCTCCCATCTTAGATATTAAAGTAGTTGCATTAGGGAGGCTCACACAGGTGCCCAGATTCATAGCTGGATAGTAGAAGAGGAAGGCCAAACACATCTCATCTGAAGTTGAGTATCCCCCCTGCGGGCAGAAAAAGGGAGTTTTACACATAATTTTTCCTTTCTATTTTAAGTATTAGACAAATAGAGTTCTGCAGGGATGATGTGTTTTTGTGGGCCAAAACCTGGAAACAGGCATTTTAGCACATACAGTTCCATTGTCCAGATGTCAATGGGTTTTTTGAATGGGTTTTTGGTTAAATGCCTGATATAAGGCTTGTGGTGAACACAAGCTCAAGATATTTTCATGTTTTATTCTACAACATAAAATACATCAGTAATTCACCCTTGTCATTTTTTTAAAGCTTTTACTTGTCTTGAAAAAGGCAGTTGCTAACAAGTGGCTAAATGGGTCTACAGAGATTGTCTGGGACATTAAACATCATCATCGTGAACAGGTAAATTCATTACTCACTAGTCTATATTTTCAGCCTCATTGTGTTTATGATAGCACTTTTGCAAACTATTCTAACTCAAACGTTTAGACTCAAACTATTAAACTCAAACTAAGGAAAAAATGTTTTTTTAAATAAAGACTGAAAGAGTTGTCAGAAGCTTAATGTCACTAACTTCAAAGTTATATAACTGTGGTGTAATTCGTTTATAGTCTAGTTTTTTACTTCTGGAAATTGTATTTAGGCTTAAAAATGCATGGATGTGGTGATTATCATGAGGAACAAAACTACTGAGAATCTCAAACTTTTGTTCACCACAGTGCTTATTTTCTGCAATAATCCAAAAGTCAAAGTCAGGAAATCTCATAAATAAAATTAAAACTCATACACCTTTCTAGAACATATGAAAACATATGTACAACCACCAGGCTCTGACCTTTAATATAATCTAACTTTTAATATAATGAGAATCAGTGAAATTTGAAGATTGAAGAAAAGACAATATAAGCCACTGTGTAAATGTACAGTACTAACCCATGTGAGTGTGCTGCGGATTTCAGTATTATAGGTGCACTCCACCAGCAATTTGTCACCCTGAAAGAACCAAAAGATTGTTTTATTTCACTTATTGCCAGTAATTATATACTAAAACATATGTATGTACAACTGGAAGTCCTGCCACCTCAGGAAATTCAAAAGCCTTGAAAAAATATATAATTAAAAGGTTACTTAAAGGTTCAATCAGTAATTTTATTTCATTAAGTTTACATGTAAATAGGACATGTATAGTATTAAAACAATTAAGGTACCATTGTTGATAAAAGCTGAAAAATAATAATTCTTTTGAGGCAGATCTTTTAATCAACTAGCTGAATCAGTTTAGAAAACCAGTCTGAATGATTCACTTAAGAATCAATGTGATCCTATTCTTGATTTTAACTCATTGCCGTAATCTGCTCGCAACAGTTAATGGTTCATTGAAATGAGTAATGGCCTTTCCCCCCCCTCACATTAAAGGGGTCATATGATGCGATTTCAATTTTTCCTTTCTCTATGGAGTGTTAAAAGCTCTTGGTGCATAAAGAAGATCTGTCACGTTGCAAAGACTAAAGTCTCAAATCCAAAGAGATATTCTTTATAAAAGTTAAGCCACACCTACCTAAAACGGCTCGTTCTAACACGCCCCCACATATCTACGTCGCTCTGTGGGAAGATTTGCATAACGCTGCCCACATGTTCACGCAAAGAAAGAAGGCGTAACTTTTATTCTTGCTGTTGTTGCCGCCGCCGCGATGTTGTGGAAATGCTGTGTGTTTTGTTATGAAAGCGAAACTATTTTGTTTGGCCTTCCAAAAGAGGACACAACTACGGCGATCCGACGAGTTTGAAAATCGTGCAGTGTGAACTCGGCATAACCCCTCTGCCAACTCCCCACACAGCCACGGTCTCCATACACTCTCCATCCACCCCAGTATAACACTCCACCTCAAACGCCTCCGTCACAGTTGGAGTGCAGCGGTACAGCAGCAGATGATGTAAATGTAAATGATGTAAAATTGTAACGACATGTAAATGATGTAAAAGATCTAAATAATGACTGAATTTTCTTTTTGGAGTGGACTATTCAAGCAGTCGGCAGTGTTTGTTTTCATTAGAGGGCGCTATGCACACGTCAATCATTTACTACTATGTTCACGCCGCGAATCATTCGTGATTCAGCTTCACCTCCAGAAGAAGTGAGCATGTTTTTTTAATGAATTTTGCAAATCGCCTTTGCTAATAATGTGCTAGTTAGCAAGTTTCACGATGAATGCGGCTAAAGTTTACAGTCTCTCAGAGAACTGCTGGTCACCCCACGGAGGGAGATGGGCGGGGATAGCAGAGCCCATTAGCATTTAAAGGAAAATGCAATGAAACGGCTTGCTGTGAAAAGAGCTGTTTTTGACAGGGTAAAAAGGGTGTTGTTTTACACTACCATTGAGAAAATTTAACCCAATTTAGTTATAGACTTTTCATTAAGACCCTAATGAATCATATCAACTTGTGGAAAATGGGCATGGGATGACCCCTTTAATCTAAACTTATTTAAAGGTTTTCATATTGTAGAGTGCATAAAAGACAAGTAAAACAAAGAAAGTATAGTGTAAAGTCCATTTCCATCTTTATATGATTTATTTAAAAAGTTACATATAGTTTGCTCAACTTTTGTTTTTCTTGTTTTCAGGTTGCTTTCAAGACTGTCCATATGATCCAGGAGTTTTTGTTCCATTAAAATTATTGACATTTAATCAGACAATGGAAGAACAATAGGTTGCATCAGTAGCATTTTGCAATAATGTTTCATAAGGACCCCCACTGCACTGCCAAACAGAGGAGCAGCGATGGCAGACAGGGCCGTCGCCTAGTGAGGTGAAAGGTGGTGACGATTATAGGGGCCCACAGCTGCGCGTCATCATGAAAGAGGGAAAATCACTCACTGCTCTTGACCGAATTACTTTGCAGTTTTAACAAGAATTTATCTATATTTAATTGATACAGTGAAGACTATGTAATGATATTTTACATTTGATTATTTGCTTTCTGTACCTGAAGACCTACAAACTTGAAAAAAAAACTTAAACATTGTTTAAACTGTATATTTGTTATATTTATTTATTTGTGCTGTTTACATGATTTCAAACAGGGCCCACAGGTAAAACCTGCACCGGGGCCCTGCAAACCCCAGCTACGGCCCTGATGGCAAAGCAAGACTCTTGGTGGCACTGTCGCTCATGCAGGGTGCAGACGGGATGACTGTGAAGTCAGGAATCAGCCCTGTGTTGCTTGATATGTTGTTCTGAAATACACATGGAAAAGAGTGTCAGGTAAACGCAGCTGTGATCAGAACAGAAGCAGTTCAGTTTGAAATCTTGATATTGTGGAGGTGTGGACACTTACATTCGAGTTAATGATCCAGACGAGCTGGTCGATTCTCTTCAGTGTTTGTTGGTATTGGTTGATAGACATGTCATTCCAAGTCTTCGTGAACATCATATTGAGCCAAGTACTGCAAAATGAACAAGTAAAAGCTACATTATCATTAGGATAAATATTAAGAGGGAAACTCATTTAAAAAATCAGTGTTTTAAATTAGATTACGCTGTATCTTTTGCTCCCATCTTAGATATTAAAGTAGTTGCATTAGGGAGGCTCACACAGGTGCCCAGATTCATAGCTGGATAGTAGAAGAGGAAGGCCAAACACATCTCATCTGAAGTTGAGTATGCCCCCTGCGGGCAGAAAAAGGGAGTTTTACACATAATTTTTCCTCTCCATTTTAAGTATTAGACAAATAGAGTTCTGCAGGGATGATGTGTTTTTGTGGGCCAAAACCTGGAAACGGGCATTTTAGCACATACAGTTCCATTGTCCAGATGTCAATGGGTTTTTTGAATGGGTTTTTGGTTAAATGCCTGATATAAGGTCTGTGGTGAACACAAGCTCAAGATATTTTTGTTCATTTTATTCTGCAACATAAAATACATCAGTATAACCCCTTGTATTTTTTAAAGCTTTTACTTGTCTTGAAAAAGGCAGTTGCTAACAAGTGGCTAAATGGGTCTACAGAGATTGTCTGGGACATTAAACATCATCATGGTGAACAGGTAAACTCATCTACTCACTAGTCCATTTTTTCAGCCTCATTGTGTTAATAAACATGCTTTTGCAAACTACTCTAACTCAAACGTTTAGGGAAATTGTTTTTATTTTAAGACTGAAAGAGTTGTCAGAAGCTTAATGGCAGTAATGTTAAAGTTATGTGACCATGGTGTAGTCATTTTCAAGCTGGTAAGAATCATAAACTTTTGTTAGCCACAGAGCTTATTATCAGCAATAATCCAAAAGTTAATGGAAAAAGCATATTGAGTTTTTGTTAAGGGAACCAGGATGATGCTAACTTTCAGTTTGTCCTACAAAATCACATCACTGCAGCACGCTTTTTACTGAATAGCCAAAAGGAAGAAGCATGAGAAACAGGATCAGGAAATCTTATAAATATGATAAAAAAATCACACACATTTCTGGAACATATGAAAACATATGTGCACCCACCAGACTCAGATTTTTAATATAATCTGGATTTTAATATAATGAAAATCAGTGAAATTTGAAGATACATGCTATTGAAGAAAAGATAATATGAGCCTCTGTGTAAATGTACAGTACTAACCCATGTGAGTGTGCTGCGTTTTTCAGTATCATAGGTGCACTCCACCAGCAATTTGTCACCCTGAAAGACCAACATGTTCCTTTATTTCACTTATTTAGTTCACTTATTTTGTATATACTGTATATATGATACTTGAAATCCCTGAGAACTTAACAGCATGGTAACTTTTTCAAACCTTTTAGCACTTACCAACTTCACTGTCTTAGTTTTACCCAAATTGGTCGCTTCTTGATATTCAAAATCATAGTTTTCATCCGCAGCTAGGAAATCGATCTGTTTACCTCCTCTGAAGAGGATAAGAATTTGCCAAGAAAAGAAAGTAATTATTTACAGTAACATTACATTATGAACCACATTAGAAAGAAAAGCACACATGATTATATCTAATTATTTCCTGAAGTCAGTCATTGGTCAAAAATGTTTACCTGAAGTGTCCGACTCGCACCTTCCGTCCAGCTAAGTGTGTGTGCAGCATCAAAGAGAACACCTGAAGATCATGTGGCGTCTCCAGAACCTGTAGAGCACAGAACACAGGATCATTCAGTCATCTGCTGAATCTGATCGAGAGAGTGCGAGTAGATAAACATACATACAAACCTTTGGAATATAAGCAGTGTCACACAGGCCGTACGTGAGGAAGGATTTGGCTTTGGGTGGGATGGCGTACCCAGGGGCCACCGCAAGCCCTGTTATCAGAACACCTGCATCGTGCTGACGGAGTTTAGATGTGTAATAGAATCGCAGACCTGAGTTATCAACTCGACCTGTGCAGACAAGAAAGTATTGTTTTATTGAAAGACCTTAAATGTTCATCCCAGTGTGGTATTTCACATTGTAAACTACTACTGACTGACCTGCACTTTTATTGGGGTTGTTGTAATGCACTTCAAGCCTGTAGAAAAAATCCCCAACATTTCCTCCAATTGGTAGTCCTGCCACTTCAGGAAATTCAAAAGCCTTGAAAAATATTATTTAATTGAAAAGATAATCAGTAATTTTACCTCATTAACAAAGTGTGACATATAAATAGGCCTACTATTTCAGTAGGCCTAATAAAGTATCATTGCTAATAAAAGCTGAAAATGAATCATCCTCTTGAGGTGGATCTTTTCGGTGAATCAGTTCAGAAAACTGCTCGGAATGATTCACTTAAGAATCAAACTGATCCGATTCCTGATTCAATGATGTGTTCGCAGCAGTTAACGATTTATTCAGGTCATTAATGGCTTAAAGGGTTAGTTCACCCAAAAATGAAAATTCTGTCATTAATTACTACATCAGTGGTTCAACTGTAAAGTTACGAAGCTACGAAAATACTTTTTTATGCGCAAAGAAAACAAAAATAACGACTTTATTCCACATTTTCGTCTCTACTGCGTCACTTGTGGACGCGCGTTCACGACAGTATCATGACGCGAGCGTGTGGCGGCGCAGGCGCTGACCCAGATCCGGCGTAATGATGTCATGAGACGAAAATGTGGAATAAAGTCGTTATTTTTGTTTTCTTTGCGCAAAAAAGTATTCTCGTAGCTTCGTAAC